CCCCAAAACCCCAAAACCCCAAAACCCCAAAACCCCAAAACCCCATTCTTAAATAAAATTATTGTTAGTTTTACTTGAATATAACTATGAAAGACTTTTTCATCGAATTGAAGAGACCAAATAGCAAAAGCACAGGAAAACTGAATGTCAAAGAATACCTCAGGCTTAAATAAAAAGATAGAGAATTATAGGAAGTATTCTATCAGCGAAGGCGAGTCTAGTCATCATTCAAAAGAAGAAAACTCCCAAAGTAGTCAGTTTAATGTAGACCAGTACAAGCTCTTAAATAAGAATACTGAAGATATAGAGATTGAAAAGGAGTTAAAATAAGAGTAATATCCCTGTAGCCTCTACCTTCTCAGTCCGTAAATTCAAAAGAAACCTTCAAGCAAAAATCAATAAGCGCAAGCTTACCAAATACGTGAGCGAGCTGAACGTCTACTTCAGTGACTACATCAAAGATAATATTATGAAAAAGGAAGAACAGCAAAAGCAAAGCACTCAAGTAAATTTTCAAAAACACAACCATGCAATATTCGCAAACAGGAGTGGAGCATTTCTGAACACTGAAAGAGCAATGAATATAAATAAAGTAGGAGCTAAATCCTAACCAAATGCTTAACACACTTGACCCATCTGGATTTAAAGAAGCAAAATCATCAACTAAAAACATATTTTTCAGAAAAAGACAAAGCCAAGATTATAAATGTGGCCGTTCAATTATATCAATACATAATGAAGGAGATCAGTGCCAAGTTATGGATGCTGACAGTGATTCTGGTAATACTCTAGATTTAAACAAGTCAATGTCAACCTTTTATTTCAGGAATAGTTTGAGTAGAATTATAAATCGAAACAAGAATCAATAATTAAACTAAACCTTGGGTTTATCATAAAAAGGTTTCAATCGCAAATTGACATAATACAGCCTTAGCTGATCTAAACATATAGAATCAAAACTTCCAAAGAAAGTCCAATTCAGAAAAAATCAAACAAGTAGAGGGACTAGATCTGTTAAAAGGCCTATTAGATCTAAGGAAGAATGGATGCTCTATATTGAAGGAAAATAAGAGAATCAATGATGACCTAAGACAGACAAATAATGAGCAAGCTTCGCTATCTTCAACTCTATTTTACAAAGCTGCTACAGGACCTATCAAAGCAAATGTGGTGAGAAATAGGAAGCCAAGAGGAGTGTCTCAGTCTTCATCACTCTCATTTAAGCCCTTTACTCCCCAGTTAGGAAAGATTGGACGTATAGTCAGCAATGCTAAATCAAAATCTCCCTTTTACCAACTACCTACTCAGAATGAGATAAATAAGATGCTTGCCTCAATTGGCGACAAGACCCAAAGGATTAAAACAACAAACAACAAGAATGCAAGAAGTCGACTATTTGATTTCGAAAGGAAAATCAAATCCAATATTTTATCAAAGGTAAGACATCTAGCAAACTCATATGTAGAAAATGGTCCCAACTGAACTTAAGAAACTGATCATGGAGGACGACTAATTCTAGCGTATCAGCTAATTAATTAGTGGAAAATTAATGCCAATAATTGTTATAAAAATAGGGGTTTTGGGGTTTTGGGGTTTTGGGGTTTTGGGG